CTTTGCAGTGTCCTTGTGGGATACTTAATGTTGCAATGCTGTATCAATTCTGTGACTTTTTTCATTAATCTTCTTTTTATTGCCTTTATGGTTGAAAAAAATTTGTATTGAAAGCAATGTAATTCATGCACATGGATTAATCTCCATAATTTAACTTTACTGATAGTGAAATATGTTGCAGATGTGTTCCTTCACTTCCCTCTGCAGTCTTGCCTCCCTTCGTTTTTCCCTGTCAAACCACTAGCTTTAGCAAACCTGTAATTTAAACAATTTGCTGTGTCTTTGTTAATTGTACCCATACTGCTGGCTGGCTGGTTTGTTTAGCGTGATCTGTAATCATGCAGAAGTCAGGTAGTAGGCAACACAAGACTTTACTGCGGTAGAAATCAGCCTATTATTACGTAGGTGTGAATAGTTTTTAGCATCTTACGCCCACAAATAAAGAAATCCTTTTAATAATGGGAAGACTCAGGATACCTTATGTGCCTTGGTTTTGTATCTGCTATATAATGGAGTACTATTTAAAATATTTTGTTGGTTTTCATACCTTTGGAAGGGAGGTAGGTTAGAAGTTTTTGGTCTGTGCTTTTCCTTTAAAGTAGAAGTGTTAGGCATAAGCAAGAGATAGATTCAGTAGAAATTCTGTCATGGCTGTCATAAAATACGAGAAATCAAGTGGAACTAATATTTTGGTAAAATGAGAGGGCTTGTTTTGCATTACTTCACTTGGGTAGGTTAGGTTGCACAGGGAATCCAAGAACAAGCCTTATGAATGAGGCCAGAAAATAATTGTATGCAGGTAGGCTTCCCTTGCCACCTCCCATGTACACCCCTAGTACCACAGTGGATAGCTTCACGTGCTGTATGTTAGGTGTTCCTTCTGTTTTCATCTCTATTAGATGACAAGTTGCAATTCTGTGTATAGTACTTTCGAAATACTGAAGTCCTTAAAAAAAATTAAAAAAAATAATCTTAGCAGAACAGCAGCACATGATAGTCATGATTCTGTGTAAGATCCTATTCCGTACTTTCCACCATGTAGAAGAGAGATTCTAGATAAACAACACCAGGTGTTGTATGTATTTTAAAAAAATTGATAGCACCTTGAGAAAAGCCCAGAATAGAACTATATCCACAAACATGCTTTATACTGAAAATTTTTAAGTCTACAGAATGTTAATTGCTATAGACTTCAGAGCACTGTGTGCACAACAGTATGAGATACTACTGTAAAATAATTCTCTGAACTGCAAAAATCAATGCTTTTGATTTTTTACATCCTAGTCAATGGTATTTTGGTACTGGAATGATGCAAAAAGCACCTGCTAATAATGCAGCTAAACACAAATTCATATAAACTAAACAGCCTTATTATTAAAGAGCTGGCTCAGTTCTTGGCTCACTTTTGTTAACATCTGAAAAAGAAGGCTTGCAGAAATCCTGAATCAAAGCAGAGAAGTGCTTGCTTTCTATTCTGGTAATGTGGAATATAAGCCGTGTCCTTAATTAAAAGCTGAAGTACAGTTACCGCTGTATGAATATATGAATGCTATTAGGCTACTACTGTAATTCTTCAGTTTGTTTTTTATGATTTTTTTTAATGACAAAGTATTTTAAAATGATCAAGACTAATCATGTGAGTTAGATTGTGTACAGACTAAATGGGAAAAGCTGCTACACTGCATTTATTTGACAATTTTTTGCATTTTGGAATTTAAAATTACGATTTTTATTACATCTGCAAAGAAGCTTTATTTTTCTCAGTAAAGTGTGTTGTTACACAGTTGTTAAAATCCTGGTCAAGTTGCTTTTTACAACTTTAAGTCTTGCGTTTTTAACATTTGTGCTTCTACTTATTAATGATCTTACTATGAACACCTAAACAGAAAAATAGTACATCTTTGCCTCTCCTCTGTCACTGAACAACTTCATTTTGTGGATTCTCTTTCCCTAAAAATGGAGTTTCATGTAATACTCGAAATTTGAGCTGACAACAGCGATTCATCTTTTGTGCCTCTACCTCCCTGGTGAGTCACTGGTGTTATTTCTGTTGCCCTTCTGTGGCTTCCTGGGCAGGCTCTGCTCCGTCGATGCCGGGGCACAGCCCTTGGCTCTCGTGCTGTGGGGGCCACGTCTCCGCGCATTCTGAACAGAGCCACCGCGCTGAGCGGCATGGGACAACTCAGCTGGTCTTTGAAAACTGACTCCAAGCACCCAGTGTAGGTAACTTTCCCATCTGTAGAAAAGCACTGGGTTTAGCAGCATGGTATCAAAACAAATTTTGAGCTGAGTTTCTAGAAATTCTTTTCTGCCACGTACTTTCATTACAGTAAAGGGAAAACTCTGTTACTGTTGGAGCTTTTGTGTTAAAGAACGTCTCTTCTGCATAGCACAAACTTCATCTGCAGGCTTCCTGATAACATATGATAAGATCGTGACCCAAATGTGGGCCTGCTGTAGCAACGCATTAATGAAATCTGCCCCATTGTTCCTGCCTTTTCCCCAAAACAATACTTGGACCACTTGTGTATTATATCAACTCTGAACAACGTTAGAATGTGAACTGTGCCTCTGGTTTGTCCCCATTTGAGACTGAGGTCTCGTGTCTAATCTGGACAGTACTTCAGGAAGTAATATGGGAACTTCAGTGAAGAAAAAATAAAAGAAATAAATCTAGATTTGTGCTAAATAGTGTTGTCACAGATTTTTACTGTGTGATATGTGTATGTTGAAAGGTGAACTGAGCACACACGAGATTCTTGTGGCTGTTAACTCTAGCCGTAGCACACGTCAGTCTTACACACTTAAATCTGACATCTCCAGTGTCAAGCCTGAGCGGTGTGCAGCAGTGAAGTTTTAGTGCAGCCTGTAGTCCAGAAAAGACCTGATGGAAGTTTACTGGGAGAGGGTTAAGTGGACACTGCGGGGAACAGGAGTAGAGTTGAGTTGTGAGGGTGACTGATGAGCTAACACTTGAGGGATGGATGGAGCTCAGGTTAGGTAGAATTTGGAAGGTACTGGGAGAGGTTGGAAGGAGATGGGGAAAGCTGCCATGAGTGGCACCAGGAACAAGATATGCCACCTTAACCCTTCTTTCTTCAACTTTGAGTGAAAGATCACAGGGGTCTCATTTCTCTTTTGAGGTTTCTGCCTTGCTTATGCCTTACCCATTTGCCTTTTGGTATATAGAGAGTGAACCTTCTCTGCACATCCTCTTTCTGATGGCATCTACATCTCCTTACTTCCCCGGCTTGCTTTCTTTGGGGCTGCCCACCAGGACATTGCAGGGGTGCCCATCCTTGGGCAGGGTGGGCCACAGACTCCTTTTTTCCTGAGGCACCATCATTGGTGGCTGTCCTTGTCACAGAGCATGTCTCTAGGATGCAGGTGCCCTCCCACCACGTGCTGAGCAGGTGACTGCCCGTGTGATGGGACGTACAAGTCCACGTTGGATCATCTGACCCTGTAGCTCTCCTGCCCCTCAGCCCATCCTGTGCTGGTCAAGTGACAGGAAGCCTTGCAGTTCAGTCTGCTGGCACATGTGCTCTGCCCGCAGGACGGGGAGGGCTTCGGAAAGGAAGAGGCGGTCTGGGCTGGTTGAGTTTCCTTCTGTCACGCCGTATTTGGTCGTTTAGAGAACCCTTCATGGTCGGCATGTGTGCGGCCCCAGCGAGCCGCTGCTTGTGAGGGGCCGGGGCGGTGCTGGGCCGTGCTCCGGCACTGAGGCTCGGAGGCCCACGTGAAGTGCTGCTGCATCACAGGAGCAGCAGCGTCTGGGAGCGCTGAGCGCCAGCGTCGGGGGCATCCTCAGCTGTGAGAGGTGTGTGAAAGAAGTTCACCGACTTGGGCAGATACGGTGGCTCTGTGCACACGGCCAGAACTTTTCCAGCCTTGGCAGAGCTGAGCAGATGCTCAGCCCAGCTCATGTCAAGGCAAGGAACCCAGACAGGGACAAGGGACCCTTCGCTGCTCAAGTCCCTCTCAGGGCTTGATCAGGTAAGTAATCACAGGATACAGGATGAGGTACGGCTCCTTACAACATGAAATCTAGCTGCGTCTGTATTTTAAAAGATGTGTTTTGCACTACTCACTTTTAATAAAATAGCCTAGTTATTGGCAGTCTTCGACAGGAATTGGGGGATCTATGTTCAGTTCCCTCCGCCGTCTTGTAGGATTAAGATGTCCAGATACTTTTCTCTTTGGAACTTCCTGTGTGTCAAATCTAAAGCCTTGACCTAAAACTAGGTTTGGGGAAAGGGGGAGGTTTGGCCCTTCACTGTGGCTACCTTCTGGTGGTCCTGAAAGGCTCTTCGAATATCACTGCTCCAAAGTTTTCTTTTCACTTCGTAAGGTCATAAGCTGCTGGTGTAACTGCAACTTCAGAGGCCAGTAGCTTCTGGAGACTGGAAGGAACTGCTGGGATTGATGAAAGGGCCATGTTGTAAAGCCCTTGAAATGGGAGTAAATTGACTTCTTAAAAGTGTTTATAGTTTGTTCATATAATGTATTACAACAGTGTACATAACCTCAGTCCTGTCGGTAACATATATCTTATTTGTGAGGTTTGAATTACAAAATCATGTCAGCTTGCTTCTGTAACTGGACTGTCATTCTCAACTATTATTCTGCTTTTTTACCCAGTTGTCTTTGGTTCTGTTTTTCTCAATAACTTACTGATACCTGTATAGTAAAGTGAATACTGTATTTTAAATCCTTTTATCTTACTTTTAATGAGAATGATTGATAGAATATTAGAGAGAGCACTTCACACAGTTTAAAACATTTTATTAACCTGAAGGAAAAGTGAATGAGCTATAGTCCCAATAAGGAGAGAAATACAGGGGTCAACTACACAGCTTCAAAGAACCTGCCCCTACATGGACAGAGAGGAGTAATAGTTTCTTCAGCTGTGAAACTAACCCAGAATGGATGTGTATGTGTCTGAAAGATTTGCAGCAGACCTTTTCAAAGTTAAACTGATTCTCAATTACATGCTGTAGGAGATGAATACGATGTATGTGCCATCTGTCTGGATGAATATGAGGATGGAGACAAGCTCAGAATCCTCCCGTGTTCTCATGGTAAGCAGCTGTATTTTAGGTTTGGTATTTGTATTAAAACGTCTCTCTAAAACACTGTGTCTAAAACCCACAGTGAATATGTTTATTGATTGATTTATAAAATTTATTTTTGCTAATAGGCAGGAGTTTATGTACAAATTGAGAAAAGAGCAAACTTTTTTCTCTCGAAAAACCCAAAAAAGGTTAGGATTCCCACTTTGCATTTTTCTTTGGATGTTCACATGAAAGAAAAATCTGGACTTGAGGCTGTCCCTGAAATGTCTGTATTCAATAGGGAAACACATTCCAGAATTACATTTAAAAGATAAGCTTTCACTTTCTCTGAGACAATCAAACCATAAAATGTAATTCTGCTGTTAGTGACAGAGACATGGGTGAAGGGATGCGGCCTGTCCCGTAGCCTGAAGCCGTGGAGACCACTGCCTTGACTGTGCTAGGTCAGTGTTGTCAGTGCAAAAACCAGTGTTGATCAGTACAATTAGTAGAATGTTCTTATCGCGAACTATTGGAATTGTAGAATGTTCTTACTGTGACAAGTTGGGCACTGTCAGAGCAGCCCTTCTCAACTCCAGCCCACTGCAGAAAGTGTATGGAGTAGTCATGTATGTGTCTGTCCCCGGGACAAGACTGCTCTTAACTGCATGCAAGTACAAGAAGCATTTTAAGAGCATTTATCTAGAAATCTGGATTTCTTTGGCCTGGGCCCAAGAATGTCTCTAAATTTAAACATTTTTTTTTTTTTAAAGCTGCATAAAATCTATCAAGAAAGATAGGATTCATTCTTCCTAGCTTGAGACCCTCTCTCTACCTCCCAGACCATTAACTGTGTTGCAGCCATTTTGGCTGGGAGCAGTTTTCCTCAGCTTTTTCTCATTAAATTCCTGTGCTGAGTGGCACTGCAACAGCAAATACCACATCACTAAGGGGTTTAAAAAGAGGCAACTGATATTACAGCCTTGCATCCACAGTGAACGCAGCAGATGACAGGCTGGGCTTTGTAGGTCCTCAGTCATAAAAAACAATTTCAGCTCAGGCTGATGAACAAAAGAGCTCTTGGAAGAGAAAGAAGAGATCCACAGCATCTGTGCCAGCTAGGGACTGCAGAGTTAACTAAACCTGATCACCAATAGCAAAGATTGCTGACATTTAAAAACAAACAAAACAAAAGCCAAACCAAACCAACAAAACCAAACCAAAACCACCACTCTTGGTTCTTGTGGAGAACGTGCTTGAGCAGGGACTGAACACAACATGCTTGCCCTTGTAAATACTTTGCTCCTTGCTGGGTAGAAGTCTCTGTTAATAAGCAGAGCTAAGTTTTTAATATAAGAAAGACACTTCAAACACATTTTCTTTAAATAAGGCCAGTATAGTTGCAGTGCCAACTGTAGAGCTGATTTTAAATCCACAAAATCATGTGGTAATTTTATTTAATAACGAGATGCTTCGATACATCTTGATGGAGGTTAGAGGCATTATAAGGATAATGATGGTGGGCAAGTCTGCTGCAAGGTGGGTCTAATTCCTCAAGAAGCTGTTATTTTGTAAACGTGGCCCATGGCAGGACTGCTCTGAGTCATTCAGCAGAGGAAATGGTTATTAATGGCACATATCCATTTGGCCACTCCTCATCCATTAGGTGTTTTGTAGGCAGGGATAGACAGTCTGCATGCCAACAAACTTGGCACTAAAATTCTCTGTATGAGTTAAATTCTGAAATTCTGTTACTAATAAAATAATGTTACTAACCATAAATACAGTTTAGCAGGTTTCCTTGTCCTTTTCATTTAGGTAACGCATGTATTTTGTTTTCTAACAGCGTATCACTGCAAGTGTGTGGACCCATGGCTGACAAAAACCAAAAAAACCTGTCCTGTGTGTAAGCAGAAAGTGGTCCCTTCTCAGGGGGACTCTGACTCTGAAACGGACAGTAGTCAAGAGGAGAATGAAGTGTCGGAAAATACTCCATTGCTTAGACCCTTAGCCTCAGTTAGCACTCAGTCGTTCGGGGCTCTGTCAGAGTCTCATTCCCACCAGAACATGACCGAGTCCTCCGAGTACGAGGAGGACGACAACGACAACATTGATAGCAGTGATGCAGAGAATGGAATAAACGAAGAAAGTGTAGTGGTGCAGCTCCAGCCCAGTGATGAAAGGGAGTACAGAGTGGCAAATACTGTTTGAGACTACTAACGATGAATAGTGTATGAACAAAAGAGTTCTTAAGGCTCTACTTTACAAACCTTTATGTAGGGAATATATTTTAATCTGTAATCCATTTGGTTTCTTCGGTAGGAGCAGCAGTTCATGTAGTAGTACTATGGTTAAATCATTACTGATAGATTTATTTTTGATTCAGGTATTCAGTCACACATTCTGTCTTCTCAAAATGAACAGTTTAACTGGACTTCACAATGTTAATGAATAATGTTAATAGTTTATATCAATAGAAATATCACACAGACTAAGTGTATCTTGTTGAAACGGGATTTATCTGGAATAATTTTTTTCCATTTTGTAGCTACAACTGGGTCATACTGATAGCAATATTTATTACATGTATGGTATGTGTTAGCCCTTAAGCCCAACAAAAAAATGTATTTGCATGTTTGTATAGAGTTTTCCTAAAAACTGTCACCACCACTGAAAGAAAAACGTAGAACAGATCAATATTCTGTATGCTGGTGTATCAAAACAAAGCAGAAGAAATTCCACTTCGGTCTCAAAGCAGCGATTCCAAATAATCCCTTGAAGTTTGCCACAGTAGCTGAGTTCAAGCAGTTCCATTGAGCAGCCCCTAGGATCAGGCATCTTAGAATACGTGTTTAGTTTTGAGCAGTTCACAAGGTAAGATCCACCCTAATCCTGTTAATTATTCCTACCTGCTCCTATGATGTTGTCTGGTTTCCAGTGGGGATGTGGGAGTTGGGGTGTGGGGAGGTGATCAAAACAGAGGTTTTGTTCCACACAGAAAAATAATTTTTGGTAAGTATTGTATTGATCCTCAACTCATATACCTCTTACTAAAGAGCATTTTATGCTGTATTAGTCTGCTAAACTATGTATATAGAAAAATTGTTCTTTTCAAATACCTGATTTGAAAACAAGTGCTATAACTGTTTAACAGAACTCAGTACTTACCAGTGTATCATGGGAAAAGCAAATGCTATATAATACCTCTGTAACTATGTAGAAAGTAAAAACATGCATATAATCAAAATGCAGAGATTTTTTTTTATATGGTCTTGAATAAGGAAAGCTTGAAAGAATGTTAATAAACATCTTTTCCACTTTAAGTATCAAAAGGAATTTATTGGACTGGCGCATTGCTCTGGCTGCGCTCGCCTACACCAGGGTCAGTGGTTTGAGAGCCAGCGGTGCAGCTGCTTAGCCCCACGCTGCGCGTCACAGGGCCGGGGCTGCGCGCAGCGCTCGGTCCACGGAAAACCTGAATTCACTCCTCACGTTTTGAGAAATCTGGATGAACCCAGGCCTGCGTAGCTGTGCCTGTGTGGGGAGGGAGGGAGCATGAGCGCAAGCTGTGTCCCACAGGCCGGAACGCGCCAGCAGGTGAGCGGCTCCCGGGCGGTTCCGACCCGCTGCAGCTGCACCCTCCCAGCGGCAGGCTGGCCCGGAAACTGCTGCTGGGACCGGCTGGGAGCAGAGAGCTTGCTCTGCAGTGAGGCGTGGTACAACAGGGACGGCGGAGTGATTCACCCCTAAACCGCTGCCACCAGCAGCCCGCGGAGTCAGCGACATGCCGATTGTATCTTCACCGGGTGAATTCCCCTCCAGCTGGTGTCTGCCAAGTCCGAATGTGAAAACTCATTTCTGAAAACTTACTAAGCTGAAAGATGTTTCTTGGAACAGGTTCCTGCTGCTCCCGTGTTATGAGTGTGCTTTTATTGGTAATTGTGTTTCAGGCACCCCAAAACCTGAAGAGATCCAGAACCATGAGCTGAAGTAAACTTTATAATACTTGCTGTACAGAACTCTTATTGTGGTATTTGCTGCAATGACAAAAAGTGAAATTATGCTACTTTTATCAGTTTCTTACCTGCTATTCTCCGTGCTCTGCAGAGGAAACTCATGTAGCAAAGGATATTGTTTCCATCCCAAATATACTGTATATTTCTAAAAAACTGTTCCATTTTCTTGATTTCTTGATGTTATTAATGAGAATTTTATTTCAGCAGGCCTTGGCAGTAAACACTAGTGATGCTCCCATGTACCACAGATACCATTGACTTGTCAGTTGCCAGTGCCAGCAAGAATGAAAATGAAAACTAAAGGAGGAATAGCACTATATACTGTGGAAGGTTAAGTATCTCTTCACATTTCTGAGTAGAATTTGTGTATTTCATTAAACTTGCTAGATAAATCTTTGTCTCAAAAGAGGGCCTCTCCAAGCCCCCAGGACAAGATAAATAGTTTTGTTGGTTTTTTCCCTCTGGGCTCAAGAACTGCTGCATTCCTCAGGGGAAGGGGCACTGTTCCCTCACCCTGCCCCATGAGGAGCTGGCTCCTGGGGCTTTCTGCCTGTGACAGAACAGGCTGTTGGTGCTTCAGGGGCTCATATACCATTGCCTAGTGGAAAAAAATTTCTTCTAATAAGTAGCTGTAACTAGTGTGTGAAGTTAAAAGTATTTCACGGGACCGCTGAAGCACATAATCTCTGCATAAACCAGCGCAGGCATCGTTGGCAGTTACCACAAAGTGTTTGTACGGCCAGTAAGAAATAGCTCCTCACAAAACAAGTTTGCACTGAACCTTTCATTGCATAATGAGAACAAACTACTTGGAAAAGGAGCAAAAGCGGGCAGGAATTAAAACCTGCCCTCAAAGGGGAGAGGTAAGCTTTTGCTTGGGGGGGGGTGGGGTGGGGAGAATCCAGTAAAAGGCAACTGAAGAAAGTGATGGGTCTGACAAGTGTTTAAACAGGAAAACAAACAACCCTCCTCACCCCCTGACAGTGCATGATGTTGGGAGAGCTCCAGGGCCAGTGATTGAACAAACACTACCGGGAGATACCTATGTGCAAAATAATATAATGAGTATTAGAAATTGGATGATGTCTAAAAATGCAACACTGTCAGCAGTTCAGGATAGGCAGATGTTTCTGAGTTCTAACAATTCTAAATAACACGTCGATTATAAAGACCCTTGGAAAGGCTGAGTAATAATGGGTGGTATAATTAAAGTCTGTCTGGATTATGGTGCAGAAAATAAGCACACTGACAGTTAACTTCATAAATGTATTTCAGAGGAAGGGGCTGATCAGAATGGCCTGGCAGTCAGCGTTAGACACTTGTAAGGCCCCGATACTTGCTCCTACCTGCAGCCTCCTCACCTCCCAGCTGGCCCAGCAGAGGCGTTGAGTAACCAGGGACGGAAATGAGTCCGCAGACAGTGAGGCGTGTCAGTCGATAGTGAATTACATCCTGACTTCGGAGTGAGACTGAACAATGTGAGAACTATCCTTAAAAAACCCACTCACCCTATGCAGCAACTTTGCTGCTTTGCACCTTTCCTGCTCCTTTCTCATCTTTTCTAACATGTCAGTTCTGTTCTTCTACCCCAGCCTTGGGCAAGAACATGGGCTACAAAAGAAAAAGGAGGGTGGGGCAGACGCTTGGCTTCCTTGTGGCTGGGAGCTGCTGCTGGGAGAGCAGAGGTGACGCTGCTGGATGCCCACACGAGGGGAGAGCGCCTGTCCCAAAGGGCAGGTGCCGGCGGCCCCAGCGCAGGTTCTGGGCTCTGCTGGGCTCTGTGGAGCCAGCGGGTTCTGAGGACAGCTCTGTGCAAGGGGAGTTTCTAAAAACTGCCCAAGTTTTTAGAAACATGGGCCACGGCACTTGTAGCAGGGCCCAGGGCTGGAACGTCAGAGAGTGTTTCACAGTTGCTTAAAAAAATTTTTTGCAAAAGGAAAAATAATGCAAATTTCTGACCTAGGTCACACCTTCAGCATAAGAAAACAAACCTTTGTATTTGAATTGTCTGTTAATCTGGAAATGGGAGTTCAATGTAAAATTTGTTGAGGCCAGTGATTCAAGAAAGGTGCTTTAGGTAGACCCTAGCAAAACAGATACTATGCTGCTGTGGAAATTCAAGAACAAATGTATTTGAAAAAGTAATTTGAGCAACACCTCATTCTTACCAAGAAAAAGCACAGAGGTGCCCTAGGCACCTGCTGATCAGAAAGTAGTAATGTTAAAATAAAGGAATGGCATGGGAAGTGCTCAGTGTGCACAGCTAATGGCTGTGCTGCCTTTGAGGGACTGTTACAGGGAATTCCAGCTCTGGCCTTACTACAGAAAAGCTTCAGGGATGGATGTGCACACTCCCCAAACAAGCAAAAAAAAAAAAAAAAAATCCTGCAGTTAGAATGCCAGTGCAAGTGTAAATGGGGTTTAGATACAGAAAAAAAGCAGAGATTCACAGACACGCTTTCATGGGGGAAGCGAGGGGTTTGCATCCCCTGCATCCCTCACTGCTGAATGTGAAACTTGCTTTGTGCTCTGCAAGTATGTTCTAGTCTGTCCTAATGTGAGCTCCGAGAGCTGGAAGATACAGCTGGGACATCCAACAACCCGAGCAGTCACAGATAAAGGCTGTATGCAAGGGGGTTGGTTAGACAGACCCAGGGGCACCGCTCCTGCTGTGCTGCAGAGGTGGGAGGGCAAAGGCCTTTCAGTGGTGAGGCCGAGCGGCACTAACCGGCTGTGCCAGGACTGGGAAAGTGCAGCCTTGGCTCAAGATTAACCTCCCTTGGTCTGGGGGCTCCCCCCCCCTCCCCAGGCTCCTGCTGTTCCCCACTGCCTCTCGCTGGGGCTTGTTGCCTCCCGGCACCCGACTCCGGGGAGCACATGCAAGGCCTTCACCTGGCAGGGGAACCCCCTCGCAATGGAAGTGGCAAGAAATCCTCTCCTAAGCTGAGATCTTCCCCAAAGACCGCCTGGCCTTTGACTAGAGGTGTATTGTACTATTGCCACCCTACAAAACCTGAAACCACGCCTAGATCCGGTATTAGCGGAGTCAGCCATGCACTGAAGGGCAGCCTCAGAGGATTCCTGTAGGGGGGGAAAGAATTACCAACAGTCTGAGTTTGTTTGGTTGGAATAAATTTATTTCATCTGTCTGTAAACAAGGTGTTTTTAATAGTTATGGCATTTTTTGAAATGCATATTAAATCAGATGAGTTAGACTGTATCCCAGATGTAACAAAGTGCAGGGAAAGAAATGGACAAATCAGCAACAAGAATTTGTTTAAATCTGTACATTATCCACAAGGCCCAACAATAGAAGCAAATACTAGAATGTCCCTAAGTAGTGCCATTTGAAAGAAACCCTCGTAGTCAGTTAAAATCCATCTCACAATAGCAACAGTTCATTTTTTTTTTTTAAACAATAGTATGGCACAGAATACATATTAAAAAATTCATCACAAGACAGCCAAGTCAGTTATTCCAACCAATACCACCTCCCATTTATTCTTTTGTATACAGAGTTCTGCAGTTCTCTTTAAATGGACATACAAGTTAGTACCATGCCTGAACTGAGAGTTTGGTTACAGACATTTTGGATGACTCGTGCACAAGGCAGCTCACTCCATAATTTCTGCAGCAAGGGTGTGACAGGCCAAATGAAGATTTTAGATTTGAAATGGCGTTGTTTTTTTAGCTTTCAAACTACCCACCTTCATCCACACAGTGGCTTCAGAGCAGTTAGACTCTTTACCAGTAAGTGATCTGGCAGCAAGACTGGAGTCAGCCAGAGCTCCCGGTACGGCTGAAGGTGGCAGTTTTCCACAATGACATCGCAGTTTCGTATTAAAAAAACAAAACCAAAAACCACAACACCCCCCCCCCCCCCCCCCC